GAGGTTAATTTGTCCTGTTACACTGTCCAATTACAAGCATGGCGCGTTCACTGTTTTATTAGTGCTCAAATCAGGCTGGTGGTAACCATTCATTTTCGATAATTTTGTTATAGTTTTGATTATGTTTGTCAATCCAGCACAGAAACAGTCCTCGCAAACGTTTGTTTTAATAACTCGATCTTGTTCAAGTAACAACAACACACTTAAATGACTAGCAAACAATTCTTCAAAAAATCAAAAGCAAGAAACGATCCCTCACATGTCAGATCAGTTCAACAAAAAGGTTATAAAAGCCTCTTACTTCTCCAATCTAGTATAAAAAAAAAAAAATTCACTAACAACAACATGACTAAGAGGAAATTAGTCTCTAGCTGATGTTTGCAATATCTGCTGTAGTCTCATCAGGAAGAGAAAATTGACAACGATGCCTTTAATTTTCGAACACAAAAACTTCCATTTCATTCACAACGAAGTATTGACTTCCTGTTAAGAAAAGGTTACCATTCTGACCTGCTGGGCACTGGTATGTATTTCCAAGGTTAACGGAGCAGTTGGAGGAATTTGGACTATTTGGAATTCAAAGATCATGTCCACCTCCAAATACTGGACCATAGCTACTGTAGCAGTAGATGGCATTTCCTTCCTTACCATCTATCAAAGGCATCTTTGCTGGTGGCAAGCCACTGGCATTGACAAGGCTGAACAGGAAAGAGCCTGGTGCTCTTTTGTACGATGCAGTATCTGATAAAAGATATTTACTGAGTTACATTGGTTGAATAACAATTCTCGGTAGCAAATAGGGACAAAACCAGGACAAGAAATTGCCACAGCAATAATTAACGCCTGTGGTTGTAGCTTGAGCTATTATTTTCATTTCAGTGCATCACGACCTCTAAAAAATCACACTGCCCTTACCTTACTCTGAGATGAGAGAGAAGTTCACTTCCTTAAAATAAAGGAGACTTAGTGTTCAGCTCTAGAAAGATTTTTCTTATCGATGGTTTGACTATGCAATGGTAACAGCTAATTTAAAATATACAAAAAAACAACAACAACAACAACCCTGTCATGAGATCGAAGTCCCTCTCAAACGAAAAAAAAAACCCACACACAAAAAACAACAAAACCAAACAAAGTTAACGAAGAAAACAAAAAAACAAAGCAAACATAAAAACAAAATAAAAATGCAGCTACAACAACAGCAAAGACATCAATGCATTATTCATGGTATTAGGGAGTCCTACAAAACCAGACATTTTCATTGAACTGTCAGTCAAAAGGGTTTATCACTCAGATATGTAAGCAAGCTGACTCACCGTACAAGAAAGGAGGGGGGAGGGGGGCGGTTGGCTGAATCTTCCATTAGTCCTTAATGAAGTTGTTAAAGCAGAAATATTACTAAAAGGTTCTTAAGATGAGGTTTGGGCCGTATGCCAGGAAGCTCTCATTTGGGAGTTTTTTGTAGAACTAGATCGATTGTAA